AGAATGAGAAAAATATTTGTAAACCATATATCTAATATAGGTTTACTATCCAGAATTTACAAAGAACTCCTAAAACCCAACAACAAAAATACAACACAGGCTGGGCGCGGTGGCTCACGCCTGTAATCCTAGCACTCTGGGAGGCCGAGGTGGGCGGATTGTTTGAGCTCAGGAGTTCGAAACCAGCCTGAGCAAGAGCGAGACCCCGTCTCTACTAAAAATAGAAAGAAATTAATTAGACAACTAAAAAATATATAGAAAAGAAATTAGCCGGGCGTGGTGGCGCATGCCTGTAGTCCCAACTACTCGGGAGGCTGAGGCAGAAGGATCGCTTGAGCCCAGGAGTTTGAGGTTGCTGTGAGCTAGGCTGATGTCACGGCACTCATTCTAGTCCGGGGGAAAGAGTGAGACTCTGTCTCAAAAAAAAATACAACACAATTAGACATGGGCAAAAGACTTCAACAGATATTTCTCCAAAAAAGATACACATGTGCCTAATAAGTATACGAAATGATGTCAAATATTCTTAGTCATTAGGGAAATGCAAATCAAAACCACAATGAGATACCACTTCACGCTTGCTAGGATGGTTATTTAAAAAAAAGAATGGAAAAATAAGCGTTGGTGAGGATGTGGAAAAATTGAACCCCTCACATATTGCTGGTAGTAATGTAAAATAGCACAGCCACTGTGGAAAGCAACCTAAAAGTTCCTCAAAATCTAAACATAGAATTGCCCTATGACCCAGCCATTCCATTCCAAGGTATAGAATCCAAAAATTTGAGAACGGGGATTCAAACAGATACTTGTACACCATTGCAGCATTATTCATAATGGTTGAAAGGTAGTGACAAATCCAGTGCATATTAAAAGCTGAGTGGATAAACAAAATACAATTATATACACATATACACATACATATATTAATATATATAATTCAGCCGTGAAAAGGAATAAAGTTCCGATTCGTGCTACATTATTCCCTTACATTACACTATGTATAAATTAATGTTAACAAAACATGGATGAACCTTGAGAACAAACATTACATTAAGTGACTAAGCGAAACACAAAAGAACAAATATTGTGTGTTTCTATAGAAATGAAGTATCTAAAATATGCAAATTCATAGAGACATCAAGTAGATTAGAAGTTACCACGGGTGGACGATTGAGGAGAATGAGAATGTATTGTTTGATTGGTATAGATTCTACTTGGAGGGAAGAAAAAAAATTGGAAATATATAGTTGTAATGGTTACACAACATTGTGAATGTAATTAATGCCACTGCATTGTACACTAATGGTTAAAATGATTAAAATGGCTAAAATATCTATCTCTTAACTACCTCTCTCCACAATAAAAAGAATGGGGGCAGGTCCGTGTAGGCCTGACAGTGAAGATTGTATTTAAGCTAAAACCTAAAGGTGGGGAGAGGGTGCTTTGCAGATATCTGAGAAGCCTATTTCCAGGAAAGGGAAGCTCCTGCAAATAGCCTGAGGCAGGCACATTCTTGGATGTCTGGGAGCAGTGAGGAGCCAGTGTGCCAGATGGAGTGAGCAAGGTGGGTCATGGAAGATGAGATTAGAAAGAGAGAGGCATTCAGACTTTGTAAATCTTGTAGGACATCATAAGGGCTTTGACTTTTATCCTGATAAAAGCAACGGAGTCTTAGAGCACTGTGAGGAGGGGAATGACATCTAGCTTAGCCTTATTTTATGAGGATCACTCAGACATGGTTAAAATAGACTAAATGGGGGAGGGGGAAGGTTGAAAGGGTATCAGTTAGAAGGAGAGCAGTTAGGAGACTTATTTAATAATCTAGAAAAGAGGTGACGATACTTAACCAAAATTCACAAGAAGAGCTATTGAGTCACAGTTAGATTGGATGAATTTTGCATTCAGAAAGAGAAACATCATCTAATATTATACTATAGGAAACCTTGACTGTGTTATAGTTCCATGGTAAACATTTTTATTATTTTTGTTGTGTATTATTATTCAGGATTATGTCAATAATAAGAAAAAAATGATGAATTTAGAGATAAAGAAAAAAAGAAAAACTCTTTAAAAAACACAAAGATCATAAAATGCAAGGCTTGAATTTAAATAGCACAGTAACATATTTGAAAAATCACTACTGTTCATCATATTTGCAAATATGTGAACCTCAAATATGTGGCATTGAATGAGTCCAATAATAACCATGCTATGCATATGCTAATAATGACATAACCATAGGGGATTAAAAAGAAAAAATATGAGAATAAAAATGAAAGACTTTATTTAAAAATAAGAGACTTTTTTTTACTATAAAGCTTCAAGAATAATCCCATATGTTAAGGTAACAAAAATATGGCAGAAATCATTTTAACATGGTGAAACATTTAAGAATTCTAAGAAATAAAAATGTACATATAGAAATAGAAAATATAGTCCTTATTTTATATTTAAAAGTAGACGGTGGTAGCATCAAGGTAATAAAAAATACTATCTTTGGAATATCCATTAATTTATACTTCCAGTGAACTAAATATGAATGGAAATATCATTATGATAATCATGATATGGGAGTGTATACCTTATAAAGATAGTTTAGTATTAAGAGATTAATTTTACTTTTTTTTTGAACAGTGCATAGCTTCATTGTTGTATAATCTAAAATTTAGATTGGTAGTTGTGAAAAGGGAAGAACAGGGTATAGAGAATTCATTACGTGATGGCTGTGCCTTTAAGAACACTGGAAGAATTTTAAAGCACTCTCTCTCAAAAGAACCAATGAAGGAGCTTCCTTTGGGGAGGGAAGATCAGCTCTATTTAAAACAAAGAAGAACAATGAGGCATTTTTAGACTCACAACACCACCCCTCCTTTTCATAGTTTGGTTTGCCCTCATACAAAGGAACACCCTGACATCCACACTAGAATTGAGATCCACAGGGCATCCCTTTCATCCCTCACTGCCGAAACCCCTCACTAATAATAATTAACCATTCCTGGCTTCTATCCAACAGTTTAGCAAATACTGGAATGGGCCTGGGCCTCAGCTGCATTTCTAGCTTTAGCTACGGAATGGGAATGATGGGATCCTGAATGAGATTTGCTGAATAGCATCAGTGCAGCAAAATGACTACTCAATTGTCTACTAATGAATAACCATTATTTAAATATATATTTTATATTAGAGTATGTGTGGTGATGCTCATTCAGATAGGTCATCTTCAGCTTTATAAAGTTTATTTCTCTACCTGCCTCAGAAAATTGTTAGTATATAGCATCATAATGTTTGATAATTGCTCTAAAAGTCATTATACGCTTCATATAGATGTGTTCTTCTAGGTAATGGAAATGGCTTTTATTTCGAGGTAAATGATGATTCTTCATACTCAATGTTTACACAATAGAGCAGAGTGGGTGATACTTAAGAAATAGTCATTATAAATGTATTATTTACTTGATGAGTAAATTCTCAAATTTGGTTTGTGGTGTTATTACTCTTAAAATTTCACAGATCTTGTAACTGAATGCCTTCATGCGAGTAGAAACTGTTGTATGTATTAGAAGAAATATGGTAGGGATGGGAAAGGGAAGTTCCAAATTCCCACTTTGTTCATAGAGAGAAGAAATTTCTCCTCTATTCTTACTGGGAAGGAAAAATATGGGAGCATTTATTTAATTTCTCTCACTCTTTACTCTTCAAGGGAGAGGGGAATGACTTATCTGATTGGTAAGAAATGGAGGAAGGGAGGTATAGATTGTGCAGGTATAGATTCCAATTTTTGTTTTCCAGAGTAGCCTCTTTTCAGGATCCGTTCCCTGTCTGTATCTTGGGACAGCCTCTGCCCCTGTGAGGGAAAAAAGAGTGGTGATACAGTGTGTCTCAAACCAATGGATGGGTCTGCTTGATCAGCGATGAAGTGTGAGGATGTGATATCCAGCCAATGTTCCAAGCAAATATTTTTACCTCTGTGCCTCTGACTCCTGAATCTCATTTCACAAGCTCTCGAAGGGGTGGGGAAGCTGCTGCCTTGTAGCTTGCTAGTTCCTTAAGTGTGGCCTTTTGATCAAATCCAAATTTTACAGATCAAATCTTTTTATTAAAAGAGATGTAGCCGAGAAAGATGAAGCTTTTCTTGCCTCCTTTGGTGCTTAAAAAAGAATAATCTTGAAATCAGAAGGCTACAGTTTCTCCACCCCTGCAAACGTGAGGTCTTCTTCTCTATTCTGAAACTCCAACATGAGTGACATTGATGCATTTGTTCTATGATGAGTATAAACACATGGCATACATTTGCGTGTGTCTGAATATCCTCAACAGCTTTCCGTGCCTATTTTCCTAATATGAAAGAAATAAAGATGAAGTTTTGGCTCTGGCTTTAAGGCCATTTTCCCAGATTGGTCTTTTGCCTTGGCCAACAATGAAATAAGTGAGAGGTTAAGTCATGAAATCTTATTAAAGAGACATAGAGTTAAGAAAATAACCAATTAATGCCACCTGCCCAGTTTCTGACTTGGAATTTCACTTTGATGAAACTTGTATGAATCTTGACTAGAAAGTAAACCAGCTTTCTCCATGAATTTCCCTAAAAAAGAATTTTGTAGACCATTAGGGTAATTGAACTTTTAATTTGGAACCATATTTCCGAACATAAGGTATTAAACCCCAATAAATCTTCCTTAATTTAT